GTTTTCTATTTGTCATGTTCTGTGTAATGCCGGGATATCAAGGTGAATAAAACTTAATCGTTGTCCTGGAGGAAGAGTATCCTAGAGGAAGCAGGCATTGTAATATAAAGAGATAATTGCTATTCTAGAGAGACGTACAAAGTTCAAAGAGAGCCAGAGGAGAGAGACCTTAAATTTTCCTGAATGATAAAGGAAGACTTCATAGAGGAGACATCAGGGAAGCATGAGGAGGAGGTGGTGATGAGGTTGGAAACTCCAAGCAAAGGGAAAGGGATAGGGAAGGATGGAGGCAAAAAGGGTGATAACTCATGATATTTCCTAAGTTTAGTAGTTTGGTATGTATAGAAGGTCAGTGCTGATGAGAGATGTGCCAGGAGATGAGGTTGGATTGGTACCTTAAGGTGCTTCATATGTGTGCTTATGCCATGCCAAGTCTGAAGAATATTGAGAAGTGAAGTAAAATGACTAAATTTGCCTTTTACACAGAGCCATGAGACAAGGTGTTGTCATTAACTAAGATAAGAAATACAGAGGTGGAAGAGCTTGGAGTAGGGGAGGTGAAGTGATGATGGGCTTTAGGCTTGTACAGTTTAGGTTGCCCACGGGTCATCTGACCAAAATGCATTTGGATATATACAGGTCAGGAGCAAAATCAAGGTTAGAGGCAGAACAGTCATTACCATAAGGGTATTAGTTGCAATCATGCTTTGAGCAGAGAATTAGACTAAGGTTGGAGCTAGAGAAACAGCAGCATTTAAAGCAGGTAGAGAAGAGAGTTGACTTTTTAGGAACCATAATAGTATCACTGACCACACTGTGTTCTTATTTTTATTCATGAGCCTAACTTCCCAAATAGACTCCAAGCTCCTTGAAGGATACCATTTTAGTCCACCTTCTTTGTGCTTGTATTCCTAGCAATGGTCTGAGGGTCTTGCACATGAGATAATTAATACATATATGTATTCAAATGAATGAATAATTAATTCATGAAAAGACTCTATGGTTTGACATTTCTGGTTGGTGTTTTCAGCATTTAGTGTGAAATTTCACAGCAGTAGTTTTTGTATCTATTTCTTTTTATGACTTTTTTGTTATACAAAGAACACAAATTTACTAAAGTAAAGTTAGAAAAAAGGAAAACTAAAAAATTTCTCTTGAATTCCACTACCAGGAATAACTATTGCTAGCATTTCATGTCTATCTTTTTAGACCACCACTATCAATAGAAATAAAATGTGAGCTACATACATACTTTAAAATTTTTTAGTAGCCACATTAAAAGAAAGTATAAATAAATGTATAAAATGAAATTTTCTTTTGTTTTTGCAGAGGGAGATTCGCTCTGAGCTAACATCTAGTGCCAATCTTCCTCTTTTCTTTGTTTTTCTTGAGGAAGATTAGCCCTGAGCTAACATCTGTGCCAATCTCCTATTTTGTATGTGGGTGGCCCCCACAGCATGGCTGACCAGTGATGTACGTCCATACATAGGATCTGAACCCAGGGAATCCAGGCCACTGAAATGGAGTGTGACAAACTTAACCACTATGCCATGGGACAAGCCCCTAATATGAATTTTAATAATATATTTTATATCTCCCAATAAATGCCAAAAAATCATTTCAACATATAGTCAATATAAAAATATTAATGAGATTGTTTACATTCTTTTCTTCCTAGTAAGTCTTTGAAATATGGTGTGTATTCTACACTTACAGCACATCTCAATTTGGACTAGCTACCATCCAAGTGTTCAATAGCCACATGTAGGTGGTGGCTATGTATTGGACAGAACGATTCAAGACTCTTTTTGATGTACAGTCACGCACCCATAACAATATTTACACCAATGATAGACTTCATAGATGACCGTGGTCCCATAAGATTAGTACCATATGGCCTAGATCTGTAGTAGGCTATACCGTCTAGGTTTGTGTAATTACACTCTATGATGTTCACACAATGAGAAAATCACCTAATGATGCATTCATGAAAATGTGTCCCCATCGTTAAGCAACACATGACTGTATATATAATGATAAAGATATACATAAAAATTATAATTCTCCCACTACAAAAATTAGGTCATATGAAAACTACAGTTTTATAAGTTTTTAAAGTAAACTTTTTAAAAGTATTTTTTTTGAGGAAGATTAGCCCTGAGCTAACTGCTGTCAATCCTTCTCTTATTGCTGAGGAAGACTGGCCCTGAGCTAACATCCATGCCCATCTTCCTCTACTTTATATGTGAGATGCCTACCAAAGCATGGCTTGCCAAGTGGTACTGTGTCCACACCCGGGATCCGAACCAGCAAACCCCAGGCTGCTGAAGTAGAATGTGCGCACTTAACCACTGCGCCAGTGCGCCGACCCCTAAAATAAACTTTTTATTTTAGAATAGTTTGGGATTTACAGAACAGTTATGAAGATGGTACACACAATTTCCATATATCCCATACCCCGTTTCCCTTCTTATTTACTTCTTACAATGGTACATTTGCCACAATTACTAAACAAACACTGACACGTTGTTATTAACTAAAGTTCATATTTTCTTAGATTTACTTATATTTTTCCTAACATCCTTTTCCTGCTGCCGAATCCCACCTAGAGAGCCCACTGCATTAAACTTCCTCACCGTATCTCCTTAGGCTCCTCTTGGCTGTGACTATTTCTCAGACATTTATTTTTGATGACCTTGACAGTTTTGAGGATGCTAGTCAGGTATTTTGTAGAATGTCCCTCAGTTGGGATTTCTCTGATGATTTCCTCATGATTAGACCAGGGTTGTGGGTCTTTGTGAGGAAGACCATGGAGGTGAAGCGTCATTTCTCATCACATCATATCAAGGGAACTTGCTATGGCCATGACTTATCTGTGTCGGTGCTGACTGTGCTCATCTGGCTGAGGTAGTGCTTTGTTACACTTCTCTGCTGTCAAGTTACTCTTTTTTCACCCTTTTCACACTATCATCTTTGGAAGGAAGTCACTATGTGTAGCCCACATTTAAGGAGTGGGGAGTTATGCTCCACTTCTTTGAGTGTGAAGTGTCTACATAAATTATTTAGAATTCTTCAGCATAGGAGATTTGTCTATTTGCCCCCATTTACTTATGCAATAGTTTATTTATATCAGTGACTCATGAATGTTCATTTTATACTTTGGGTTATTGCTCAATACCACTACATTGTTTTATTTCTCAAATTGTTCCAACTTTGACCACAGGTTGCTTTTTCAGGTGGCTTCAATGTCCCCTGACATAGCCCCATCATATATATATTTTTTGAGCTCTATAGGGTACTCCAGGCTTATCTTGCCTATTCCCTGCCCCAGTCCTAGAATCAGCCATTTCTCCAACGAGTTCTGGTTTCTTTTATTGGAAAATGGAATTAGAAATAAAGGTATGGGATTAGGCATGCTTATTGCTCCTGGGGTACTCTCAAAAGCATCAAGGGAACGAAAGATGTGAAATAGGTTTTGAAAGACGATGAGCTTCCAAGGGTAGAAATGGGGAGGAAACATATTGCAGGAGAAGCAAACAGCAGGAGAAGAATTTTGGAATGGGGAAAAGCACAGTCTCACATAGAATCTGGAGTTTTGAGCAGCTGACATTCTTTGGAGGGAGACATTATGGTGAGCAATCTTGCAGCACTAAGCAGGGTGAACATGAGCAGGAAGAGTTCAAAAGGGGAGAGAATGGCTAAAATGCCCAGTGTAGTAACGCTAGTAATGTGGGTACAAGTGTTAGATTTGTCCCTTCTCCTTACTACACTGGGTGATGTGGGAGGAAAAAGCTGAATGACTTTTCTAATCTGAACAATTTGAGAAGATGCATCCTTTCTGAAATGCAGTAAGCCAAAAAGAAGAAAAAGCAATTTTAAAATATTTTGTTTAGTTAGTTTATTTTACCCAATGTTATTTCTATTAGTGTTTTAGTTAGGTCTCCTTTGATTGCAAGTGATAGAGAACCTGACTCAAAATAGCTAAAGGAAAAAAAAGGAAATTAATTTTATTGCATTGTAGGTGTCCCACACCTTGTGCTTCACTTCTCTTCAGTGCACCCTGCAGCCTTCCTCCTGCCAGCACTTGAGTTTCTTGGCCTAAGGGCCTTCTCTTACTGCTACAGCCCACTAAGTGCTAGGGAATTAACACTCCCAGGACCTGTCCTTAACCAATGACACACAGGATTTGGGGTATCAACACCTTAGCTCCTTTGACCCTCAGGAGGGATAACGAGGCAAGTGATCACACTGGTTCCCAGAGATTCCCTGGCAGGATTAAGCTCCAGGTGCCCACAGTGGCAGCTGGCTTGATAACACACCATTTTTACATGACTTCCTTTCCTCTCACTCTCTCCTGTGCCCCTGCCATGCATCCTGGGATCATCTCCTAACTAAACTTACACCCGAACCCTGTCTGCTTCTGGAGGAACCCAAGCTAAGGCAGCTGGGGTATAGTACTGAAAATCCAAGGTAGATCTCCTCTAATTACAGCAGGGGCCATGAACTAAAGCAATGTTAAGGGAACTCAGTTTCACTCTCTCTTTTCAGGATCATGTTCTTCCTGTATGGTGGGAAAGGGCTGCTGGCAGCTCTAGGTTTGCATCCTGTCTTATTACACCCCCAACAGCATTCCCAAAAGTTCCATATTAAGTTTTGAGATGTGGGCTTGGGTCAGGTACTCATTGTTGAACCAATCATTGTGGTCAGAAAGATGAATTTTCTAATTGGCCAGGGGGCCAAGGGTGGGGTCACACTCATCCAAACCCAAACTTGTGGTAGGAGGAGGGAAGGCTTGGTCATCCAGGGAAAATCAAGGCACTGTCACCAAAAAGGGGGGATAGATTTTGGGCAGGTAGAAATGGCAGATGCACACCTTGATTGGCTATGCTTTCATCCTTAGGCACCAGATTCAGAGATGAAAATGCTCTTGAAGTTGGAATATTGTAACCACAACTCTTGTTTTGATACCACATGGGGAAGAATTGTTGCTAGAAGATTCGTTAGCTTCCTCTCAAGACCCACCAGTGCCACTCGCCATGCCTTCTGTCTACCCTCTTCCTGTCCTGCGGGTTGTTCTCTTCTAAGCTCTTGGAGCAGCTGGCTGGCTCACACTGAGCCCTGGGGGTTTTTGTAAGGCTCTTTCCATCACTTCTCTCACTGTGGGATAACTTTACTATTGCACAGAAATATAGAGCTGAGTCTCTAGGTGTCAAGGCCGAGATGCTGAGTGTTAGGGTTGGTTTCTGAAACTCCACAGAATATCGCCCTTCTCTTGAGTTCCTGCTTCCAGAATATATTTGAATGATGTGAGTCATCTCTCCATTGGGAAGTTGTCGATACCAGTACATATTGTAGTAAGCATAACTGACTGTGATTTTGCAGTCCAAGGTCACAGATTCTCCCTCTTGCGTATACATAACACTTACAGGTTGAGAGACGCTCTGGGTATTGCTGGAACCTGTAGAAAAGAAGAAAAGATGACTTATCTGATGACATTTCTCACAATAAATGCATCACAAATAGCCAGGTTTTGACTCAGAAAACAAGGTGGAGAAAAGCACAGTCCTGTTCTATTCCAACTTGTCTCCCCAACCTCCTTCCTCACACCCCGGCTGCAGGGTTGGTGGGCTCCCTACCAAAGCAGATGAAGGCCAAGACAGTGCACAAGAGAACAAGCAGTCCAGACTGCATCCTTGGGGTTCTTCCTCCTTTTGAAATGGCTCTTTTCTGTCTGCTACCTGACAGGCTTTTGTTGTGTCGCTGGAGTTGGGCGGCCCTGGAACCTTGCTACTGCAGGGCCGGAAATGAGATTTCTGCATAATGCAAGCTTAGTCATGTCACCTGCTGCCTGTGTTTGCGCTCCTGCTTCTCTTCTCTGAGGTCTATTACTTTTCTTGAATAAATATATAACAAGTAGAATATGTTTTAATTTTGAAAGAAAACTTTGTCAATGTAGACATAACCAAAAAGTATAAAAGAGATAATAAAAATCCAACTATAATATCACTTTCTAGAGATAAATACTGTTACCATTTGTTGTATTTCTTTAGTATTTTTAATATAAATATGCATACTTTAAAGGAATTGAGATCATATTGAAAATAGCTTTTTGTTTAACATCATGTATATGTGTATGCCATCATGTCATTCAATCCTATGTGAAAATGTGATTTTTATGGTTTCATACTACTCTAATGTGTAAGTGTACCTCAATTTACTTAAACATCATTGTTTGACATTACTTTGTTTCCTGTTTTGACTGTTTTAAATAAGATTCAGTAGACATTGTAAATATGTCTTTGCATTTCTAGTGATTTATTTATATGTTAACTAGATTCTTTCAAAGTTTTTGTTAAGGGAAATTAAAACATCTAAAAAATAAGGGAGAATAGAGTAATGAGACAACATATACCCATGATCCAGGGTCTACAATTATCAACTCACGGCCAATCTCCTTAATCGACACCTTCACCATTTTTATTTGTAATCTATTTTTACTTGTTTTTCTCATTGTTCTTTTGGTCTCTTAAAATGCATTAAGTAGCTTTCCTGTTTTTATTATTCATAGGACTTAGGTACGGTTTGTATAATAGGGAAAATATTGGTCTTTGGTTTGATGTAACTTGATTGTATAATAGGGAAAATATTGGTCTTGGGTTTGATGTAACTTGACTGTAAAACTGTATGTATGTACAGAGATTTAAATTTCTTTAATGTACATGTAAATTCAAAATTTCTATTTCTTCTTGTAAATTTTGCTAGGTTATAATGTTTAGAAAGTTTTACATTTTGTCCGAGTTTTCAAATTTATTTCTATGAATTTATTCCTTTCATTTTCTGGTATTTAAATGTTTACTCGGCCTTTAGTTATTTTATCTTCTTTCACACAATATTTTTATGTCTTCTTTATTTATTTCCTTGACAATTCTCATGAGAGATTTGTCTGTCTTCTAATTTGTTTTCAAAGGACCGTTTAAAATTGATCCCTTCCTTTGCTTCTTTGTCTCTATTCCATTAACGTTAACTCTTACTCTTCCTATTTTCTTCCTTCTACTTTTGTTATTTATTCCTACTTCATTTTAAAACTTTTTGATTGAATGGTTAGCTTATTATGTTAGTTTTTTATTTTCTCTATATATTTAATATACGTGATTTTTAAAATAATAATACTTTTTATTGAGGTATAATTGACACACAACATTATATTAGTTTCAGGAAAAGTTGTTAAGAGTAAATCTTAAAAGCTCTCATCACAAGAAAAAAAATTTATAACTGTGTATGGTGACAAATATTAACAAATACAAAACTAGATTTGTTGTGGTGTTTGCTTCACAATATATACAAATATAAAATCAGTATGTTTAATATCTTTTTGAGGCTATAAAATTTTATCTGTGTACTGCTTTAGCTCCATCTCACAAGTGTTAAAATGCCGACCTTTCATTATTGTCTATTTGTAAATATTTTAACAATTCTATTATGACTTCCTCTGTGGTTCATGAATTATCTAGGAGTGCATTTCTTTTTAGTTGAAGCTGGCTTTTTCTTAATAGTATCTAACGTTGTTTGCTGTAGTAAAAGAACATGATCTTCATGATATTGATTCTTTGATACTTGTTGAGATTTGCTTTGGTCAATTTGTGGTCAGTTTTCTGATTATTACTTTAGGGTAACTTTCTATATGTAGAATTGTTGAGTGAAATAACTATATATATATATGTGTGTGTGTGTGTGTGTGTGTGTGTGTATACAAATTACCCCTCTAGAATGATTGTACAAACTGATATGTCTATAGCATTACTAAGAGTTTTTGTGTCATGGCATCTTCAGCCACACCTGAGAATTTAATGCTTAAAAACTATATAACAATTTGTTGAGAAAAAAATAATCCCTGTAAATTTAATGCGTGTTTATCACTGAGGTTCCATTCTTTTCATATTTTATTGTTATTTTTATTTCTTAATTTGGAAATTATTTGTTCATATTCATTGCCGTTTTTTAAATTGATGCAATTTTTTTCTAATTTCTTTGTAATAATACTTTATCTTTTAAGGATATCAAACAAATTTGTTTATAAAAGATCATTGTCTTGGACTCCACTACTGATTCTTGACCAGATAGGAAGGCAGCTGAATTTCTATTATGACTGTGTCTGAGCTCCTTGAACTAACCATTTACCTGGGCCCTCCCAACTCCAGAATTCACCATTACTGTGATATGCCTTTACATATAAACCACAAAACTTCTGTGGCCTTTATCTAGATTGCTTTCTGAGAAACATTTCAGATGACCTTGAGATTTTGGCCACTGAAATTGTTATTCCAGAAGAGACAAAGTTGACATGAGTGCCAATGGGTGCATGTAAAGGTTAGGGTGCCCTGTTCAGTAAAAGGAAATGACTTCTTCTGGCCAAGTCATTATTCTGAGAGAAGTTTGTCATAAAGGATGAATTTGCTATAAAGGGAATTCTATCCAAAGAAACGATAATGGAATGGGGAGGTTCTCTGAGTGAAGACATTTACAAGGTTTGGGTTGGGTATAAGTTAGGTATAAGATAGAGGTTGAGTAAATTGCAATTTTAGAGGAAGGAAACAGTTGGTCACAGAATTTCCTGAAGTTCAGGAGGATTTTAAAGAAAATCTGCCTGCGATAACCTCAATAGTATCCAGACTTCTAATTCTCAGCCCTATCCTTTTCAGTTTTAAATTCAGGCCTGTCACCAATCCCCAGGGAGTGTCAGCATGGTCTCAGTGTTCTCACAGTCATGTTAATGGGTGAGGCCGGTCCTTGGAGGCCAGAGGGAGGAGCAGCCTCCTTACAATGTTCTAGGACAGTGGTTCTCAAGCCTACCAACACATTAGAATAAATTGGGGAGCTTTAAAAAAAGTGCTGATTCCTGAGCTATGGACCCATGTGGGGACACATTCCAGCATCACCATATTAAAATTTACTTAAGTAAAAAGTAAGACAAAAATGAAACCAGCTGCTCTACAATAAATCTAAACGTGAACAGAAGGAGAATTATTAATAGCAGGAAGATGAATTAAAGAAGATGTTGGGAAAGGGAAAAAGGAGACACTTTATCTGTAGGTTTCTCAGTCTGGGAGGGAACCAATTTTACAAAATCTAACACTGAGACTTGAAATTTGAGTATGGCAGAATTTTGGTGTATATTTATGATGTTTTCATGAAGGTGCTCAATTTTGGATATTTAAGTGTTGATTACCCAAGTTTGGCCTCCTTAATTCTCAAACCTTACTTTTCACTCCACTTTCCCTGTGCTCTGGATGGTTGGAGTATTACCAGTGGTCAACAGCTCTGAGCTACCAACTAAAACCTCATCAAAGACTTGAATGTAAGACCTGAAACCATAAAACTCTTGCAGAAAATATAGGCCTAGACCCTCTGACATCAGCCTTAGCAGTATCTTTACGATACCATGACTACTTAGGCAAGGGAAACAAAAGAAAAAATAAACAAATGAGACTACATCAGAATAAAAAGCTGCACAGTAAAGAAAACCATCAACAAAGGAAAAAGATCACCTACTGATTTGGAGAAGATATTTGCAAATCATGTGTTTGATACAGGGTTAATATCCAAAATATATAAACAACTCATACAACTCTAATAATAAAAGAAACAACCCAATGAAAACTACGGTGAGATATTTCCTCATGCCTGTCAGAATGGCTATCATTAAAAAGACAAGAAGTAAGTGTGGGAGAGCAGGAGGAGAAAAGGGAACCCTCATTCACTTCTGGTGGGAATTAAGCTGGTAGAGTCATTGTGGAAACTGTATGGAGATTCCTCAAAAAGTTCAGAATAGAACTTCCATATAATCCAGCTATCCAACTTCTAGCTATTTATCCAAAGAACATGAAAACACTAATTCAAAAGGATATATGCACCCTTATGATCATTGCAGCATTATTCACAATGGCCAAGACTTGGAAACAACCTAAGTGGCCATCAATGGATGAATGAATAAAGAAGATAGGGTGTATATATATATATATATATACAATGAAATATAACTCAGCCATAATAAAAGATGATGAAATCTTGCCGTTTGCGACAACATGGATGGACCATGAGGATAATATGCTAAGTGAAATAAGTCAGAGGGAGGAAGACAAATACTGTATGATTTCACACATATATGGAAGATAAACAAACACACACATAGGTACAGAGACCAGATTGGTGGTTACCAAAGAAGGGAGGAGGTAGGAGGAGGTTGAAAGGGGTGACAAAAGGCAACTAGACTTTTGGAGGGGAACACGACGTAGTCTATGCAGAAGGCGAAATATAATGATATCCACCTAAAATTTATAGAATGTTATAAATCAATGTTAACTCAATTAAAAAATACAACAAAATAAAGAAATTAAAGTATACAATGTGATCATTTTTGGCATAGATATACCTGTGAAATCATTATCATAATAAAGATAATGAGCATATGCACAAACTCCAAGTTCCTTTGCGGCTCTATTCCTTGTGCTTCTTTTTAGTCCTTCCTGCATACCTTCCTACCACATCCTCCAACCCTTATTCAGCTCCAGGCAATCACTGATCTGCCTTCTCTTACTATAGATTTGTTTGCATTCTCTAGAGTTTTATGTGTACAGAATCTTAGAGCATAGACTCTCTCTTGTCTGATCTCTTTTGGCATGTTTATTTTGAGATTCATCTATGCTCTTGCATTTATCAGGAGTTTATTCCTTTTAATTACTGAGGAGTATTCCATTGTGTAGCAAT